GTCAAAGAGAGTTTGGAGCAGTTGGTATAAGGAGGAGTTAGTGTCCCCCACAATAAAGCACTTACAGTGAAGCTAAAGAGGTAACTCAGACCAAATAATTTTTTTTTATTTTCTATAGTGTTGAATGTGAACCTAAAGGGAGTTTGTAAGCAGGGAAGGAACATAGGAAAAGTCTGTCTCCAAAAAGCTCTTCTTTCTGCATTGAAACATGAGCTTATCCCAATCTACATGTAGTGGAGGATATAGTGAATTCATTTTCTTCTTCCTTCATTCACACTGGGCTGTAAGTGACTAATAAAGTATAAGGCACTGTTTCACCAGGAGAATTTACAGATGTCTGGGAGACAACTGATGAAACCTAGGGCATTATCCAGAGGAGGAAGGAAGTATTTTGAAATTCAGAGGATCTCACCAAGTTGGCTGTCTTCTTTTTCTGAGTGTCTAAGTTCATTACAATAGAAAACTCTGTACCAAATAAATAATTGGTTAACAGAGTCTGACTGCTCTATCTCAGAACACCTAGTGCTTGGCAAACATACCAGAGATTCAGCATTATGACCAATGTTTTCACTAAGCCATCTGTCCTTTTAATTGGTCAGAGGTGAAACACCACTACTAACTCACAGTCTGGCTGACAGGTAGCTAGAGGGCAAGATCTGTGGTAAAGACAAAGTCTAGATCACCTTTAAGTCTGTATCCTACACTTCATCCAGTGGTAGATTTTCTTTTCTCTGCCCCAGCTCTTCCTCATACAAATAAGTGATGGTCTTTTTCTGGTATGAATAAACTGTAATAGTACATAAGATCCTAATGAGATAACTGACATTGTGAAATGGGAAGAAAATGTCTAAAGGTGTAGGGAAGGTTGGATGGGTAGGGGAAGGGTAATAAGGGAAAAGAAAAAATGTGAAAAAATGAAAATATGGAAATAAAGTGGTTGTAAATGGGGAAGGGAGGAGGGGTAAAGGGAGGGCAGGGACAAGGGGAAAAAATGAGAATTAGACCTGTCATGTAGAGGTACAAGATCCTAATGAATGTAACTGTACTATATCCCTAAAATGTACCAATAAACTCAATTAAAAAGCAAAAAAAAAAAGTGATGGTCTAATGTTAGCCATAAACAATGGTGACCAGTTCAAATAACTAAATTCAGTCAAGAATAACCCCAGAGAAACAATTGAAATTTAAGTCTCTGTCTCCTATCAATAATATATCTCATCTGAAGACATCAGCTCATTTTAGAGAGCTAAGGAACATCTAAAAGCAGGTGGAGATCTTTGAAAAGTAAAGATCAATCCTCAGTAACCTCAATATTACTCAGGACATCCTTCCAAGCTGATCTGAAAGCTGACACTGTTCAACTCTTTCAGACAACTTATATGTGGAATCCATAAGAAATGGTATGACATACAGCTCCCCCATGAACCCCATCTATACCTATGTCTAAGACCTACTCCTTTAGGACCTATGAACTGCATCTAACCAATACAATGGCAACAGTGAGGGGACGTCACACCTGTGACTACATTACATTGCTTAAAACACTATCTCACTAACAAACTCACAGTACAGCCTGTCCTTGAAGGCAAGCATCAGTCCATGTTGCAAGGAGCTGTAGGTGGCCCTACAGTCTAGCCAGCAAGAAGCTAATGGCATCAGACATACAGCTACAGCCCAACTCCAGCCCCCATGCTCCTTGCCATGAAGCTGCAGCCACAGGATCAAACCCATGGCTTGTGGAGAAGCCTCAGCCTTGAATGGATCATGGAGCCCAGATGTTCTCCTTTCTGCCTCCCTCCTGTTCTTCTCCCTCTTCCCAACCCCTAGCAATCCAGCCATCCACACAGGAATCCCAGGGAAATCATCCACATGCCTGTACATCTCTCACATCCACAAATAAGGAAGCAAGAAGAAAAAAACGGCAAAATCTCATCTGGCTGGTTGAAACCAATTCTCATTATGGTGATTTACATTAAGAGGGGCTCAAATTTGCATACCATTAAGATTAACTTGTGCACATTTTATTTCATTTCAGCCTTAAATTCTTCATGGAAGCTGAGCCTCCATGGTTTTCTTCCCCAAGTAACAGAGCTTTAAAATAAAAATAAAAATAAAAAGATCTGCTATTTCTAGTGGATTTTTTCAAATTCACTCATTCACTTTGGAGAAGGGTAGGTCAGATGCCATTTGGGATGCACCTCCAATGCTCACACAGAAGGTTCCTCGAATAGGAAATCGAATTTTAATAGTCAGCTCTGCAGAACTCCAGGCAAGAGTGTGCATAATACTAGTAACCCCCTGTCAGCAGAATGAAAGTTGTGAGGTCTGTCATTTTTCACAGGCAGAAAAAATTTAAGGTGCACTTAATCCCACCTCTGGGCTTGAGCCACACCAGTCCACTCACTGGACTTAGACTGCCAAATCCAGATGTGTGTGTCCCACTGGCCAAGCCCTATAAAGCCTAGTAACAGGCACCCAATATCTCCTCTCCCTGGAAAATGATCAGGGAAAAACAGGTTTTTATGAGCTGCACTAACACAATGTATCTCGGTATGATTAATCCATCTCAGGAAAATGACTTTAAGAGCCAATTAAAGGCAGTTTTAGCAAAGTTATTTTGCATTGTCTCTTTATTCTGCTTCTAGTGACAATTGTACCTGTCAGTAAAGCTATGAGAAACCATCAATTTTGGCAGTATGGATTTTCAGAAAAAAATAAGAACCACTGCCCTGGGGAGAGATTGGTTGTCCACCTCTGAGCGCAAATCCGGAGGCTGAAATGGAGACCTTGCCCTCTGTGTGGCTTCCAGCTCCAGGAGATTGGTTTACGGGTCCTCCCTTTGCTGCTCGCTGCCCTTCTGCTCAGAAACATGGGAACATAATCACCATTCACCTCTAAGTGATGAAGGAAAAACATTCTACCCTGCAGAAAAGTCTCTGATCACAATGGAGGAGAAGCAAGAGGAAGAAAAGAAGGAGGAAAATAAGAAATGCTTTCTATAAACTAAATAAAATTACTTTCCTGGTTTAAATTGGCAAACAAGATACGGGCATGGAGGCACACACCTGTAATTCCAGCACTCTAGGAGGCTGAGGCAGGTGCATTATGAATTTGAGCACAGCCTAGGCAAATTAGTGACTTGGGGAGTCCCTGTCTCAAAATAAACAATTTTTAAAGGACCGGGGACGTAGTTCAATACCTCAAAATGCTAAATAAATAAAAATAAATAAGTATTAATTTAATGACAAGCAAGATGAATGGTTCCTTTCAGGGCAATGACTTTACCTTCTTTTATCAACTCTCTTGCATCTAAGCAATTAATAAAGCCTATTCGTAGGGGAAAAAAACACATCCTGTAACCTTTCCATTCGTTTCTCCTCCAAAACAGGGATCACTTGCATGGTAAGTCACTGAGAAAAGAGTTAAACTGAAAAAATAAAGAGTCCCCAGCTCCCTGCTGGGGGTTAATAAACACTCCCAGGCTGGGCTCATCCAGGTGGGCCCTCTGGGTTCTCAGGTCTCTACTCCTTAACGGAGAGCCAGGCTCAGGTGTCTCACTGAAGCGAAAGGGCTGTCTCGACCTGTGGCTTGGGTTCTGTCACTCTGCTCAGTTAGGGTTACAGCTTCATTATGATGACTGCTCAACTTCTGTCAGGACAAATGCTCATCAGTTCACCTTTCTCAAAGCTCAAGGAGGTGCTTGGGGAGCCAGGGTCACACAGAGGCAAAGCGAGCAGCCAAGAGGCTAGTTCTGTGAAACCCCCCTTCCAAATATGACTCCATTGACATCACCGTCTGCTTCAGTAGTCCAGGGATCTGTGTAGTCCCACGGGGGCTCACAGGCTTGGAGACAGATCCCCAACATCACGGCTCCACCGTGGCCCTTCCCAGGAAATATGCTCCATGTACCTGAGCCTAACAGTAACGCTTTAACTTCAGCCTGCACATGCCACATTCCTCCGTCAAAGCTCTGACCTCAGGAAGACGTCTTGGGACATCCCCGAAGTCCCTTGCACAAAGCCATGTTGCACTGTCCTCTGCTCCTACAAAGCTCCATCAGGACCAATTAAAACCCTGAATCCTTGACAAAGCTTCCTGTAGCGAGCTTAGCATCCAAAACAAAGTCAAATTCATCTGTAGCCCAGTGCCTAACTCTGAGCCTGGAACACCAGAGATGCTCAAGAAATGTACGTAGATGAAAGAAAGAGGTGGTTATGGAGGCACATGCCTGTCTGCCCAGCACTCAGAGAGGTTGAGGCAGGAGGATCACATGTTCATTCTCAGCCTGTGCAACCTAAAAAAAAAAAAAAGAAACACCCTCTCAAAATAAAAAATGTAAAGGTAGATCAGTGCAAAGGCCCTGAGATCAATCCCCAGTACCAAAACAAACAAACAAACAAAACACAGAAAGGAAGGAAAGGACTTAGTATTCATGAAAATGAGTCGGTCTCCTTAGGCTGCTAGAGATAAAGGGAAAAATAAAGAAAGGAACCAACACATGTCAGATGCATATATGTATCTGGCATTATTCTAAGTACTTTCTTTCATTATGAGCACTTTTGTTTCCCTCATTATATTTTATATATGAAAAACCTGAGGCTCAAAACAATTAAATAACATTCCAAAGGGTCCATAAGTAATAAGTCTCAGAGCTGGACTTCTGAATCCCAGCCCATCTGACTATGGAACATGCAGTCTTTTCCTCTTACAACATTGTCTTCTTAGACACATAAAATATTTGGATCAAGACAGACCTTAGCGATAATGCAGCCTGAAGTTTCTGAGGCCCAGAGAGTATGAGTCATTTGCCTCGGGTCACCCAGCTAGTCCGTGGTGCAGCCAAGAACCTAGTTCTCCTAGTTCCCACTCCAGTACTTTCGGCACCACCCTCGGCATCCACTGCAGCTGTGACTAAATGTGACGTTATTCTATCAGATCAGATCATTAAGAAATAGTACAAGATATCTGGGAAATAAGGTTAGCACTTTGTGTCTTCCCAGAGCAGCTGTAAGTCTGGGCCTGGAACACTGGGGAGTATGGGAAGGAGACAAATGGGCCCGAAGACGCCCAGTGCCCCTCCATATCCCTGGAAGACATCTGTACCTGGGAGGAGCAGGAGCCCTTGGGAGAGTCACTGCTGAACCTGTTAAAAACCCGCTCTCCAGACCGGAGGTAACAGGACTTCCACTGCTTTCCTGGTGAAATGACTGATCCAATGGTTCTGGTGTCCGTGTCTTCACACCTCCGTGGCTTTACTGCCCATAAGCATCTCTCCCTCATCCTGTGAGGGCTTCTTCCGTCAGCATTTTCAGGATTGGTAAACAGAAACTCTGGAGAAGATGAGGTACTTGCTCAGTTAATGACAGAGCGCAGACAGCCAGGCAGGGTCTCCCAGCACAGCCACCAGCTGGGTCAGGAATCGGTTGCATGGAACAGGCCTTTCTCCTGCCTGGGGCTTCCTTCTGCCTCTCCCTGATCTTTGTCCCTGTTCCTCTTGACTTTTACAGTCTCCACTGCCCTGCAGCATCCCCTAGCTCATCCAACTCCTTCTCCAGCAAGTGAGTGGTTTTATCAACAGAGAGTGGCTTTAGTTCCCTGCCCTTTCATTTTCCCCACTGGGAAACTAGGGTGACAGTTAAGGCCTCCCCCTACCATGACACTTTGTAATTTACTCCACGCCACTAGGATTCATCCACTTTCTGACCTCTAACACTTTGCAGCATTGCTGCACAATTTAGCCATTCATTACACGCAGTCACCTTTTCCGATAATTGCTTCCCATACACCGTCTCATTTCTCTAATAAATGTGCAACTGCTTAAAGGCAAGAGCCAAGGCTAATGTTTCTGGTTTCTTCTCCGCAGCCATTCACACAATGATAAAGAGGCACTGGGCACTTAGAATATGTCTGCAGAATAATAAAAGAATGGGTGGGGCGAAGCCAGGTCTGACCTCCATAGTGATACGACCATCACCTTGCAGAACAGAAGAACAATAAGGCATGGAACAGGAAGAATCAAGCCAGCTGTTCTTGAATCCATCACTCACTTTTAAAAATAAATTGGACCTCCTGCCTGCAAAGCAAACTCTCTCTAAGATACAACTGAGCCTTCAGCAGATGTTTTTCTCTTATAATTTGTCTCACCTTTAGAATGAAAGGAAAATTTATTTAACCTAAAATCATTTCCTTCTGCAAATGATTGCTCATGTTAGTGACTTCAGCCCTGTACTGAGCTTACAAATAAAGTATATTAGTCCTTTGGGGAAAACAGGCACATGACAAAATAACATTGATACAAAATATACCACATGCTGGAACTGAGAAGAGTCATTGTGATGTGTCAACTTGACTTGAGTAAGAACCACCTAGCAGATTACTAAATCTCTGGTATATCTGTGGGCGACAAACTCCTATCCTAAAAACTGTGGAAGAAAGACCTAATCCAGATGTGGGTGGTGCCAATGAATAGGCTTGTAACCTGGATGGAATAAAAAGGGAAAGAAAAAGTAAGCTGCCCTTTTCTTTGGAGGCACTCCAGTCTTCTTTATTGCCTTTGGACATTCATCTCCAAGTCTTTCAGGCTTCCAGCTCACTCTTCAGCCTCCCAACACTTGACTACTACTAGATCCTCCAGCTCTTTAGCATGCAGATGGTCATTTTAGATTCTCCTATCTCTGAATCCCCAGACAGCCACTAGGACTCCTCCCCTCTGATCCTGTAAGCCTACCCAATAAAGCCCTTGTATAAATATACATATATTTCATATTGATTCTATTCCTCTAATGGACCCTAATACACACAGCTGCCAAGTATTATGGGTATCACCAGAAGAAGAACTTTCCTTGCATAAGACTGACATCAACCTGTTCAAGAAACAAAATCCCATTCATTCTAACTGGAGTAAAGGGAAATTGTTTTGAAGATACTAAAGTATCCTGCAAACATCAAAGGCAAGAAGAGAGTCAAACAGACTCCTTCAACAAATATTTATTGGAGATCTACTGTATGTCAGGCACTGGCCATATGGCAGTAATGTGGTGATTGAGGAACCCAAGTTATTCCAACCCCCAAGCATCTGGGTCCTCCGCAGATAGTTTGCAGATGAGAAAAAACAGCATCCAAAAAGGAGCGAAGCAGGCATCACCCCACCCCTCACCACTGGTTCTGATGTTACTAGATCTGGATGCAAGGGGCTCGGGAAATGCAGTTCGAGGCCAGGCTGCTGCTGTCATCCTCAGAGGATTTCATTCAAGGACACTTGATCTCATTTTTAAAGAGTAAAGCTGGGCATGGTGGCATATGCCTGTAATCCCTACACTTTGGGAGGCTAAGGCAAGAGGATCGCAAATTGTAACTCAGCCTGGGCAACTTAGTGACTGAGTGAGACCCTGTCTAAAATTTTTAAAGTGGGGGGGCTATGGGTGTGGCTCAGTGTGAAAGCTGTGGGTTCAATCACCAGTACTACACACAAAAATAAGAGTGTCTCCCTTGGACATGGGACCTGGAAAGTTTCAAGACACATGACTATGCCTATGGCAGGAAAATCTACAAGCAGCATACAGGTAGGTACCAATAAAAAGACCACACCATACCATACACTCAAAGGAAGTAAAAAGCTAAACTAGCCCTTTATCCTAGGCAAGAGCTATTGTTCCCTTGATATTCCCTTGGGTGGTGACAGTTTTATAAACACTGACTCTGGTTTTTTAGGGGTTAGGAGATGCTATATATGGACTCCAAGCTCTCATGAATGCTAAGCATGTGCTGTACGACTGAGCTATCCCCCAGGCTTTGACTCTTCTCCTTCACGTTGACTTGGTAACACATAAAAATCAGATAGCAAAAAAAGAATCTAGTTAGTTCATGTATACTTGAGCTGCATTGAGTCTTTTCATCAGACTCAATGGTTCTTGGTAACAAAGTTTGAACAAGAACTGAATTCTAGCATCCACGTTGCTTCTTGGCTGAGTTAGCCCACCCTCAAATCTGGATACGTCCTTGTACCCCTCTGAGTCTCTGCCATTCCCTGCATTCCCCCAGCCTCAGCTCTCTCCCAGAAAGCTTTGCTCACTTTTGTGCCATGATAAGCTCCAAAGAGGACCAGTTACTTCTTGCAACTACCACTCTTCGCAGTACACATGGCAGCTTCTGAGGTCCATCTGCAACACATGAGGAAATAAGATAGTTCAAGAAAGCTCTGGGCACACAGGGCTAGCACATCTACCTCACAGGGTCAGGCTGGTGAAACTGGGAGGTAGCATCCTCCCAGACTCCCAGTTGTGAAGTAGAGCAAATCCCTTGCTCTCAGAACTCCTCTCCTGAATAAACACATACTTTATACTCACAGATATGCAGTATGATCAAAAAATAAAATAAACAAAATTTTTATTTACCACAGTATCCTCCCAAAATACTCTGCTCTGCTTCACATCCCATCATTCTTACCACTTTCTGAAGCACTTCTGGAAGTTCTCTTTAGCAAGTATTTTTTTGTTTTGTGGTTGTTTGTTTGTTTGTTTTTGTGGCTACCTCATGCCCTGAATCAATTCAAAATGTTTTTGGCAATTACTGTCAAATGAAAACATTACAGCGTGTCCTCATCTACCCTACTCACAGCATCCGGTGCCATGTGACTTCCCCAAAGTCAAAATGACTGTGCAAGGTAAACATGTTGAACTGATTCAGGACATCAAGGCAGTCAGGGCAGCACAACTAAAGACTGTCATGAAAGAGGACTTCAGTACTGCTTCCGAAAGTAGCAAGAAAAATGGAATAAGACTGAAGTGAGGGGGACGATGCTGAGGGAGATTCATGGCAATGTACCTTTTACTGTAATAAATATTTGTTAAATCTGAACACTTAGTGTAATTTATCAGATCTTATACAGGCTCAAAACTGGTTTCTCCTACCGCCTTTTCTCCTGCCACAAACCTTTTGGCTAGAAAGATTCATCAGCCTTCTCCCAACCAGCCATAATCCCTCTTCTATGCAGCTCACTACTACCAGTACTAGGCCTTGCTTGTTAAGACTGCCAGGAGTATGGCCCTGGGCCACAGTCCATTTTCCCTATTCTTAATAAAACAGAAGTCTAATTTGGCAGTTGACTTTGAGCAAGTATTTTATTGCTGTAGGGGTTACCTGCCCTCCTCTGAGGCACTGAAACCTGTTGCTTCCAAGTTGGAAGGCCTAGGAAATCTAGATAAAAGGGCTTTAAATATGTTTTTCCTACTACAGAGGTAACACAAAATCAATAGACTCTGTGATCTCTTATTGAGGGAATAGTGGAAAGAAGAGTTGGTTAAAAATGGAGAAAATAAGCTATGACAAAACTGAAAGCTGAGACAGGGACTTTAGACTTGATTTTATGTACACAAAAGGCTTGAGGTTGGACAGCCCTAGGGCCAAATCTCATTTATTCTACAAACTTAGCTACAAAAAAATTATTCATCCTTTGTGAGTCTCTGGTCAACCAGTTTACCCCTGGGATAATTACGATTGCTTTCCTTACAGAGTTGGGGGGATCAAACTCACACAAAGGAATACTCCACAGCTCCAAAAAAAAATACGAGGACACCCCTCATTTATTAACATGGAAACATCTATAAGACCTATTGCTTAAGTGGATAAAAGCAAGACATAATGTAATGTATATATCAGTTTGCTGGGACAATTGTAGTACAAGAAAAATGTATTTCCTCAGTTCGGTAGACTGGAAGTTGAGTGCTCTCTCCTTGACTGGCAAATGGCTGCCTCCCCACCTTTGATCCTACATAGTCACCCAGCTGTCTTTGTTGTCTGCATCCTAATCTTCTATAGGGACACAAGCTATATCAGATGAAGCCACTCATATCATTTCACATTACCTAAGGTGTATCTTTAAGCGTTCCATCTGTACACACAGTCAAAAATCTGAAATACTAGGTTCTACCATCACCATCAACAAAAATAATTCATATATTGAAATCCTAATCCCCAAGGCAATAGGTAGCAGGGTCTTTGGGAGATGATCAGGTCACAAAGTGGATCCCTCACCAGACATCAAATGTGCCAACGCCTTGAGCTTAGACCTCTCAACCCCTAGAGCTGTGAGAAAGAAATTTCTATTGCTAAAAAGTCTATGGTATTTTATGATAGCAGCCCAGGCAGACTTAAACATCTGAACTTCAAGGAATACAATTTCAGCCCACAGCAGTGCTTGCAGAAAACAAATGTCTACACAAAGACTCATATTGTAGCGTTCCTAGCAGCTTTATTCACTTTATTAGGGTTCTCAAGGCAGCAGAACCAATAGAATATATAATTCTAAAAGGAGATTTATTAAACCAGGTTACAGTATCAGAGGCCAGATAGCTGTCTGCAGGCTGGAGAGCCAGAGAATCTAATAGCTGCTTAGCCTAAGAAACTGAAAACCTCAGAACAAGAGGAGCAGGGGTGCAGCCCTAGTCAGAGGCCAGAAGCTCCTTGCAGAGTTGTTGGTGTGAGTCCCTACTGAAAGGGTGAAAAGCTGGAGTCTGATGCCCATGGGCAAAGGCAGCAGCAAAAGATGCACCTGCTCAAGAAAAATCAAGCTTGCACATTCTGGCAAGGCTTTGTTCCTCCAACACCACTCCCCGTCTATTTGAAAATGCCTCCCACACTCAGGGTAGATCTTCCCCCGTCAGTTTGCCAAACACATCTGGAAACACTCTCACAGACACACCCAGAAGTGGGCCTTACTTATTTTCTAAGTGTCTCTCCATCAAATCAAGTTGACAACCTAGATTAACCATCACACTCATAATCATCATTAACTGAGAATACACAAGTGTCTTATCAGTTGACTGGATAAATGATGGTGCCTTCATTCATTCAATGCAAAGGGAATGGCTTGCAGACTATTTTAACTTAAAACATTTGGACAAGCCACAGCTGCAGAAAGAAGCCTTTCATGTAATATTTTTTAATTTGACATATAGCAGTGGTACATATTTATAGGGAACAGAGGGACATTTCAACACATGTATATAATATGTAATGACCGATCAGATCAGGCGATTGGCATGTCCAGCACCTCACACATAGATCATCTCATCTTGCTGGAAATGTTCAAAATCCTCTCCACTGCTCTCAGAAAGCAGT